CTATGGTTTCAAAACTCGGGATCGCTTCTAATAAAGACACGTACAAACAAATGAAGAACAAGATAATTCAGCTATACAAGTTCGATGCTCCTTATCTTCATTAACTTCATTAGGGCTTCTCCCCCGTCATATTTCTTATCTATTCTTTATTTCAATTAAACTCTCCACGTTTCCTCATTAGATAATTATCTGTCCATGACAGAAACTTAATTAAAACGAAGAGAATCTGTTTCAAGAAAGAGAATATAAGTAATAATTTCAATATAATTGAATATAAGTTTACTAATTACAATCTTGCAATATCTCTATAGCCCTATGCTAACTAAAAATATCCCAATACACATTCAAACATTTATTTCCATTCTTTCCATTAAAAAACTTTCCTTCATCTGATCCTATAAGCGATCCCAAACTGTTGAACATCGTGCGAATTCTCCACGAGAACTAACCGATTAATTCCAAGAAATGGTAACAACCTCTTCTAACCAAAGAAAACAAGAGAAACAACAAATAACTACCAGTTAAAACAGACGGCGATCAGAAGAAATAATCCAGAGACTTGCATCTTTGTACGTCGGTTTATTATCATAGCAGTACTTTGACACTGGTTATTTTAAGAAAGATAATGTCTAGCCTCTTCGTTATTTCTTATCTGCTCTCTCCCGCTCTCTCTTATCCCTCGCCTTTTTTTCTGTTTGCCGAGGAGGTCTTGGCAACTCGCCAAGTCGCTAGAATTAAGTTCGGAAGCTATGTTTCTGTACACTCGGTGTTGCCGCCGTCGAGAGCGGTTTCCAACTCGCGATCATTTCTCCCCTCGCACTCTTTCCCGCTCACTCGATCTCTCCCTTTCTCTCCTCTACACGCAGACAACACACACACAGAGTTCTCCACGGCTCTCTTCTCTCGCATCCCCCGTGTTCACTTGCACCGTCGCGCGCGCTCGCAATGCTCCCGAGCTTTCTTCAGCTCCGGCTCGATCCCGCGCGGCGCGCTCGATAAAAGTTCTCCCGCCTAGCAATCGCTCTCCCTTTTCCCACCCCCGACCTCTCGCACTGTCATTCAAACGTACAATTCGCCACCGCGAATTTCATGCCGGCACGTTCCTTCGTCCTTATCCGTTCCTCCAGTCTTCTTTCGGCCGTCCACCCCCTTCTTCCGGCTTCGATCTCCTCTTCAGTCGCACCCGTCGGCACCCGCAAAGCACTTTCAAGCGTCCCGAACGCGCGACGAGAGGTCCATTACAGATACGCGGCACGTTACAGTTATTATTGTCACTATGCGCTATTCGACTCGGTGTGCGCCGATCGGCCGACATCGCCGCCCTCCGGCTGCCCCATAATTATTGCCACCTCGCCAGTTTGCCTTCTGCTTTTGCATGCACGCGATCCTCTCTTCATCGATCTCACCCGGTGAATCGCGTCACCGGTCTGTGTCCGTGGTCGACGATCGATCACTGGACTCCTCTTCCCCTTCGTCATACGTGAACGTGTTTAATTCAGAATCCGAACGAGTATTCTTGTTCAATCAACTTCCCCGTGTCGATTCCGATTGAACGCCGGCCTCTACGAGCTCATCGCTCGGGGACCCGCGCATACCGCGGCGCGCGTTGCTGCCTTCGAACTTTCTTCTCGCGTGCTCAGTATTTCCCGACGGGCCAGGTCTTGATGGTTATACGGAAACCGGCTGCTTTGGCAAACGCACGGTGAAGCCTGGTTTGCCCGTGTCAGACCCCGTCAGGATGTGGTGTCTTGGTTACTCGCTGCTCGGCTCGAGTCAAGTTTGTACTATGTCGTCGCCGACCGATTTTGCGCGGGGAAACCTTGAACGTGTTTAAGAATATTTGCTTCGAATGAGATCGGTAGTTGTGGCTGCGAGAAATTCGGGCGAGAAACGTGTTCGGTTGAATGTCTTTGGGAACTACTGGAGCTAGAGGGGTATTGGTATGTTTGAGTGTATGCTCGAGTACGTAATAGAGAGACGTTGGAATTTTGATTGTTGGGTGTGAAGAAAGGTGAGGTTTTTCTATGCATTTGTTTATCGACATGTTGGTTTTAGAATATTCAAGTTCTGGTTGGTTTTAGTTATTGGTGTATTTTAAAGAATTGTTTTAAATTGTCTGGTTAGTTCTTGAGATGGATATTTTAAAAAAATTCGTGGTTGTTATCTTTCTAGCTCTAGTAGTTTTCTAGATATTCGAGGGAATAGGTTTCTCACACCTATTTCTCACGTCTTTGAGGGTTATTTTCTCCTCTTCGTTATGACTGATGTTAGATAAAAAAAATACGCGTCGAATAGTTTTGTTAAAACTACTTTCAACCGAAGTTCCAACTTTAGTATTTTCTTAATTGTGGGTAATAACACCAGTTAACTATCACAATATTAACACGTTCGCTGCCGACACAATTGAGCTGTCCTTTGCGGCTCGCCACACAACTCAAAATATAGCGTCCGAAATTATTATTACACTACGGATTTTTATACAAATTTCCAATTTTATATTGTTATTCTTATAGTAATAATAAAATAAGTATCATTAAAATTTGTTAATATATACGCCTGCACGAAAATCTGCAGTCTTATTATTTTAAGATGTTATTCTGTCAATTTATTGCTGATATCGTTTACCCCATGCAAAACGTATAAATGTATGATGTGTTCGAATTCAATAGCGTTCGGCTTGAATACAGTTTGATATAAAAAGATATCATTGATAGAATGTGTTAAAATAATGTAAAGTCTCTTTAAACATGAAAATGCAAGTGTAGCTAATGCTGGATGGAAATAAAAATGCAACAGTTGGGACAGCAGCATTATTGGATCAATTGACAACGTGTAAGTAGCAGCGAAAGAGTTAACGGTAACTCTGTCCAAAAAGAATTTCGATTTTTAAAATCCATCAAGTGATTCGGGTAAAGTTTCTCGTTACAAGCACAATTCGAAAATGAATCGAAAATAAATGGACGAAATGATTAAAGTTGAAAGTTCAATTTTTCCTCCTCGATCAAAATTTTAATTACGAAGAGAAACGACTTCAAAATTCGCATTCGACGTACGAGAATCCTCAAGAATCACCTATTGATTATCAGAATATAAAAAAAAAAGTAAAAATTTGTCCGACAGTGTAATTGGTAGACCACAGATTTTTATGCAAATATTCATTCCCAGAGACCAATTAAAACAGGAAATATTCCAAAATCGAACGGGAATTCCATAAAACTTTATAAAAACTCATACTGCATAAAATCCACAGTCAAGTAACAAGTAGACTGCTTAACTTTATGCGTCGAAAAACATTCAAATTACAAAACATGGAATGAAATGCAATATCGAATCCCTGTGAATTCTAATTTCACCCGAATCGCTTCAGAAAGAATCAGATTCCGCATAAAGTTCCGCTGTTCAGCGATTATCGTAGAATACGTGACCACCGTTATCGGATAGCATCGTCCACATCCGAGCTCCATGAAATCATCGAAAATCGTCTGTTCAGATTCATTGATCGTGCGAGAACGGAGTACGGCTTATAATTCCGCGGGTCGAATGAAACTGAGTCCCTTCGGTCCCGCGTCACCGCCGCTCCGCGAGCGCGACGGAAGTTCACGTACCCGGGCTCGAAGATATCGCATTATTTGAGCGCGGTCTTCCTGAAGTACCCGTCCAACGTGCTCGATAATCGTTCGGATAGCAGGGACGACGATGAGATTCGGCCGCGTTCGCCGCGATCGTCGCCGGTCGGTCGGTTCTCCCTCTCGAATAATCGAGCGTGTTCAGACTCCGGTCACCAGAGCTCCGTGGTCGGGGTGAGCGTGTGAACCTCGATATTCTCGTGACGATGATACCTGTCCCTGCGGCGCAGCGTGGCCCTTCGCGACAACACCACGGTCAGCGCAGCTGCGGCGCCAAGGACCGCGCCGGCTAGCACTAGCATGCCGGGATGAGCGCCGGCGGACAAAGCCTCGGACACTCTCGCGTCGGAATTAGTGGCCCGGCTATTCAATTCCTCGTCCATCGCGCTCGTCTCCACGGTATTCCCCAGCACCAGATCCTCTTTCACCAGGTCGTTCAGTCTCTTCGAGTATTTCCCGTCTGTTCCACCCTCATCTTGATCCATTCGCTTCCGCGGGCTGAGTTTCGACATGATGAAGGAACCGCTCTTGCCCGAAGTCATGGGTAGCTTGTTCAGTCGTTTGGTCTTCATCTTTTTGGCATCGACCCGATTGTCCAAGGTCCGTGAATCAAAGTCGTCCGGCTTCGCGTCGATCGACGGCCTCTCTGTCTCCCGGTCTGACAACCCGTCGACATCCGTTATAAAATTTTTCATCTCCGCCGCCGTCTGATTGACTTTGATTATCTTCCTTCCGAGGCTGCGCCATTTCTGCGTTTTCGCGATCGACGTCGCGTTTCTGAACGACGTCGGAGCCTCGTAGAAACGGGTCTCGTTGCCGGCGACTGGCAGCGACGCGGTTCTCGTTTCCTCCGCGCCATTAGTGGGATCATCGGAGAAACTTTTGTGGTACGGAGTCGGGCGAGTCTTAGAGTCCTCGGTGGTATTCGTAAGATTGTCGGCCGGGTCTGGTACGTTCGCGCGGGTCACGTTGGAAGACGGTTTCTGCTTGTCGCCGGAAGACGCGCGCGTGGTCGTGGTTGGAATCGATGATGTAACCGAGTCGGTGGTCTCAGTAGTTGGCACGACGGTGGGAAGGGGACTCGGCGGTGAAGGTAATTCGTAGAGAAACGATCCTGACCATTCCTGGGGGGTGGCGCATTGACCCGGTTCGACGTCTTTATCCGGTTGTTTGTGTTGCATCAGCCACTCGCCGAGCCAGTAGAGCTCCTCTGTGCAATCCCAATTATTCCCGGCGAGATCGAGGAGCCGCAGTTGCGGCAGCATGTAAGGCAGATCGAAACGTAGCCTGGTGATGTTCGTCTCGGACAAATTCAGTTCGGCCAGGCTTTTGCAGGCGGAGAGCGCGGCGTCATCCGCTAAAAGCTGCCTGGCCAGCGCCGGGCTGCCCGATACGTCGAGATATACGAGTCTTTCGGGCGTGGGCACAGGGAACGCCATGTCACTTTGTTCCTCTTGCCTCCATTCGAGCGAGGTTAATCCCGACATACGGAGCTTCGCGAGATTGCTTGGTCCACTCAGAGTATTAGCCGGTAACGTTTTAATGGGATTATGGGACAGATCGAGTTCTTCGAGCACCGGCAGTTGCCCGAGAGCTCCCACTTCGATTTCGCCGATCTCGTTTTCGTTCAGCGTCAGCGATCTCAGATTGCACAGCCCTTGGAGATCGTTCAGCTTCAACGCAACGATCGCGTTACGTTGAAGCTTCAAGTTGGTCAAACTGTTGGGCAAGCTTCTGGGTACACGGACCAGAACGTTGCCGGAGATGTCTAATTCCTCAAGGACCTCCAGACGTCCCAAAGCGTCGTCCTCGATGTCCGTCAATCGATTCTCCGAGATGTCCAATATCCGTAATAGGGGATAGCTGTCCAAATCGCCACCGCGGATGGCAGTTAATTTGTTGCCGGCCAGTCGCAGCGCTCTCACCGACCTCGTCAAAGCAGCCGGTACTCTGGCCAAGCCAGTGCGCGACGCGTCCACCGTCTCCAAACGTCTGCCGGTCCCCAATAGCAACGAAACATCTCTTTCCTTCAACGGATTCTCCGATAGTTTCAGCACAGACAATCCCGACAGCGGTTGTAAGGTTCCTGACGTGGCCCGCGCCAGTCCGTTCCTCGAGACATCCAATTCCCTCAATCGGTACAGGTTCTCGAACCACCTGGTACCCAAAACTTGCAGCTGGTTCCCACTGAGGTCCAACTTCTGCAAGGAGTACAGCGGCGTAAGCGCGTTGTCTGGCAGCTTGGTCAGCCTATTGTCCGACAAGTCAAGCAGTTCGAGACGGTCCAGTGCGCGAAATGCGTCCTCGTGCACCACGTTAATCGCGTTCCTTCTCAAACTCAACCACACCAATCCCGTAAGCGTCCTAAAAGCGCCGGCACTCAGCTCGGCAATCGAGTTGTCGGACAGGTCGAGCCGTGCCAGCCCGGTCATGTTGGTCGTGCGTGCGACCAGGATCGCATCGGCCAGCCGGGCCAGGCTGTTGCGTGACAGGTTCAGCGATCGGATCCGCTCGAGACCGCGCCACGACACGTTCAAGTACACCAACGAACAGTTCGTCGCGGACAACTGATCGAGACACGGCAGGCTCGAGTTATTGTCCTCGGCCGCGGTATAAGTGTCGTTCCCGTCGACACCGTTGGACGCGTCGGTCATACCGAGATCGCGAGACGAGTCGGTCGCCTCAAGCTCGTCCAATAGACCGATCACTTCGTAATCCTCAGCCCCGTCCACGGTCAAGCTTCCGGTGTTCGCGGGCAGCTCGGCCAAAGCCGGCACACGGCCGCGGCACTTGACGCGCAGCAGAGCCGGCAAGTCTGTCTCGGCGGCGCCGCTCGGATGGCACTCGCACAGATCCGGACACGCAGACCCGGTCGCCATCAAGGCGAGCAGCATCAACGGAAGCCACATTGCTTCCAGCACGATCTTTTTCACATTACGATCCGCCGCGCGTTGATCCTGACTTGGCGGCTCGTCGGGGCGAGACGGGTACCGGACGCTGGCATTGCGTGTCCGACGAGACGCGTCCGGTTACTCATCGACGGGCCGCACTCGATGGGTTGACGCGCGCGGGTACACGTTCAGCCTTCGTTTTGGGTCCCACTACGGGATTGAATGCCGCCAAAAACTTCACGCGTATTCGCGGATACCAGTGGGAGCGCGGGTAAGACTATCA